GTTGAAAGCATTCCCCCTATGAACTACAACAAGACAAGAATGCTTACTTTCACCACTTCTATTCAACATAGTACTGGACGTTCTAGCCAGAGCAATTAGGCAAGACGAAGAAAAAAAGTGCATCCAAATTTGAAAAAGGGAATTCAAACTATCTCTGTGTGTTGATAGTATGATCTTATACCTAGAAACCCCTAAAGACTACACCAAAATACTCCAAAGTTTGATGAATGAATTCAGGTCACAAAATCAATGAAGGAAAATCAGTTTTTGTACTCACTGCTACAAAAACCAAGCTGAGAATCAAATCAAGAACTCAATCCCATGTATAATATCTGCAATACAACTAAAATACCTAGAAATATACTTAACCAAGCAAGTAAAAGGTCTCTACAGGGAAAACTACAAAATACTGATGAAAGAAATTAAAGACGACACAAACAAATGGAAAAATGTCCCATGCTCATGGATTAGAAAAATCAGTATCATGAAAATAACCATAATGCCCAAAGCAATCTACATATTCATTGCAATTTCTATTAAACTAACAGCATCATTTTTCACAGAAGAAAAAATCAATCTTAAAATTCATTTGGAACCAAAAAAGACTCAGAATAGTCTAGCAATTCTAAGTCGTAGCAATTCTAAGCTAAAAGAATAAAGCTGGAGACATCACATTATCTGACTTCAAATTATACTAAAAGTCTATAGTAACCAAAACAGCATTGTACTAGTTTAAAAGTAGACACATAGATCAATAGAACAGAATAGAAAACTCACCTACAATAAACTGATCTTTAACAAAGTAGACAAAAAACATACACGGGGAAAGGACACCATATTCAATATATAGTACTGAGAAAATTGGATGGCCACATGCAGAAGAATAAAACTGGACCCCTATCTGTCACCATATACAGAAATGAACTCAAAATGGATTAAAGACTTAAATACAAGACCTAAAACAATAAAAATTCTAGAAAAAATCCTAGAAAAATCTCTTCTGGTCATTGGCCTTGGCAATGAATTCATGATTAAGACTCCAATAGCAAATGCAACAAAAACAAAAATAAATAAATGGACTTAATTAAACTAAAAAATTTCCACATAGCAAGAGAAACAATCAACAGAGTAAACAGATTACTGAATGGGAAAAAATATTTGCTAACTGTACATGAGACAAAGGACTAATACCCAGAATCTACAAGGAACTCAAACAAATCAGCAAGAACCAAAAACAAATAAGGTCATTACAAAGTGGGTAAAAGACATGAATAGACATTTTTCAAAAGAAGATATACGAATGGCCAAAAAACATATGAAAAAATGCTCAGCATCACTAATAACCAGGGAAATGCAAATTAAAACCTACAATGAGATACCACCTTATCCCAGTCAGAACAGTCAGAATGGCCATTATCAAAAAGTCAAAAAACAACAGATTTTGATATGGCTGTGGGGAAAAGGAAAGGCTTATACACTGTTGATGTGACCTCTATGGAAAACAGTATGGAGAGTCCTCAAAGAACTGAAAGTAGATCTAACATTGATCCAGCAATCTTACCTGTAGCTGGGTATCTACCCAAAGAAAACAAGACATTATATCAAAAAAGAGATGGTCTTACAGAGGCACACACATGTCAAAATTGTATACTTTAAATATGTGCCTTTATATATCTATCATGAAAAACATTAAATTTTGAGCTCCTAATTACATACTGAATTGAATATGCATTTATCTCCACTTTCTATTGAGATGCCAATCTCAATAGAAATGAGAGTGAAATGAGAGTGAAATAGTCAAAAAGATATATGCCCACAATAAGGATATCACAGGAGTATGGTGATGTAAACATTTTCTTGAAAGGTAGAAATGAGGATCTGTTAATTAAGAGAAAGACAAACCTAAATGCTTGGCAAGAAGAAAATCAATAGAAGGTCAAAAAATAGTTTCTGTCACAGAACCCTATCCCCAAATGCTCAGGAAATGAAGGCAGTAGAAGGAAAAAAAAAAAAAAAAGCCAGAATAAGGACTGGTGCTAGAAGTAAGCAAATTGTTTGAAAAAGTTGATAGTGTAATTAGCCCTGACTTGAGAAAGCTAAATCTTTCTTTCACTGTCACAAAAATAGGCACCTAACCTTCCTCTGGCTTAGCACAGAGATCTGCCTTAGGCACACTTATACCCATCAAGAAGACACTGGAGCCCTTGCTTCTGGGGAAATGTCTGTCATGAGAAGAAAAATTAACAACTTCTGATATTTGAATATTCTTCTCTTTATCATTCTGAAATGTAGCCTAGCTATCAAAATCCCACCTTCTCACATAGAAATTCCAATGGGCATTTTAGTACTTCAATCTCAAATATAAACTGATAGCTATATATTGCTAGATACATGAAGAAAACCTACATAAAGAGGACAGTACCACTGTATAAATAGTTAAGAGATTTTGTGTGTCTAAGAGAAGATATTGCACTATCAGATAAGAACAGGGTGTTATTTAGAAAAGGATCAGTAGAGAACAAGGAAATATTCTTGGGAATTAAAATTATGAGAGCCCCAAATTAATGTGTGATAACCTAAATTAAAAATATCATAGAAAAAATGAATGTTTAAGCTGAGGCAATTTTTCAGGGATAAGATTTTGAAAAAGCTAGAGATGGGCAATATTAGAGAAATGATAAATATACTAGAGGTTAAATTTAGGAAGTACCAAGTCCATATAAAAAAGGAACTCCAGAAACATTGGATGAGGGAAAAGGAGAGGAAGAAGTTAACAAAAATTAATAGAAAAACAATTCCCAGAACTGAAGGATACATGTTTCTATATTTTTAAAGGGTTCAATGATATGTAAGATACACACTTAAATATAATCTTGAGACTTTTTTGAGCACAGAGGAATAGTCTCATAACTTTTAAAGAGAATAAATGAGTTCACATATAAAGGACTGAAATCCTAATGCCATTAGGATGCTCAGAAGTAACGCTGTGAGAGTAGAATACAGTGGAGGTAATACCATTTCAATTTCAAAGAAACATGATGTTCTTTCAAATATTCTATACTCAACCAAACCATCAATCAAATATGATTTTAAAAATTTCCCTCTCATGCACTCCTTCTCAGCAGTCATCTGAAGGATATGTTCCGTGAGCATCTGAAGGAAAACGGAGACATGGGATCTAAAAAAGTGGTCAAAGGAAGATCTCTGAGGACAGTCAGAAATAACCCGATGAAAACGGTTATTCCATCTTGGAGCAGAGGAAACAAACCTCTAGAAGAGATGTCTCCAAAGGGCAAGAAAAAATTCCTGACAAGTTTAACTGCGCTGAATTGGATTTTAAACTTCTTTTGAAGGAGCATGGAAGAATCAGTGAATGGTAAAGAGAAATGTAATCAACATAAAAATGCAATTACTAACTCTAGGAATAACAAAATGCTGTACAACAAAAGCAATGCATTTATTAAACATTACTTAGCTCACCTGATCCTTAATAATCTTAAGAAGATCTTTAATATTCCTTATGTCTTTAGTAGTCTTAAGAATGCAAGAAAGGTACATTCATTTATCCAATACTTTATTATTTCATCAATTATTAGATCTATTTTTTCTTATTTTAACATCTCTGTAGTGAGAATACAATTTTATAACCAATCAACAGCATTTCACAAAAGCTCTTGAACAGGCATCCTTTGTGACATAGTTGTCCTCGCCTGCACATGAAGAAATACAGTTATTAATTTTAGTGGCATGCCTGGACAACTATAACACCTGGAATTTTCAGGCAATAAACTATTTAATTACCATTTAAGGAAGAAACAAGAGCACCAATTGTGGTCTGACAACTTACCATTGGCATCTTCTCTTAAGATCAAGAAAATGCCAAGAGGTTAGAATCTTGAAAAAAATTCAAGAGATATTAGTGAAGCAGTCTTTTACAATATACTACATTTCCAGCACTCATAGTACAGAGGACAATAATATTGTTTTTGAAAACATAAAAACA